ATTATTCACAAAAACTTGTTACACTGAAAATTATGGTGTTGGGCAATAATACATCAAACTGATCACCAGAATAAGCACGATCGACGAAAGGATTGGTTCCAGAGACATCACGGGACATACTTCAAACATCGTTATTATAAAGTACGATTAGCCTCAGTGATTCACGTGAACGATTTACATAAGTTGAGATTTAAGACATGTTATGGGTATGTATGTAATCCACGTGAACACTAACTGTCAGCTAATATTTGGAATATAACTTGCAACAATTTTATTCCACGTGAACAATAAATATCAGTCAAGGGTTGTGTCATGATTTGCCATGCCTTTATTCCACGTGAACAGCAATTACCATGAAGATTTATAACGAAATATTCACACCACAGTTTCAAATGGCCAATGAATAATAGTTAATTGTTGATGTGTCAGACTGATAATAAGCTACTTTCGAGTTTTGTCGTTATTTTATTTAACACTGCCATTGAATCGAAGAATGTAGAAGTAAGTTAATATGCTTCTGTTTCACCTAATTAATGAGAGACAACAAGATTTGGGTAATAGGAGGGTAATAGCCTCAGTTTCGTGTGGCTAATGAGAAGAAGTCAAATATTATCATTTAGCTAAACAAATTATTCACATCCGAAATTTTTCCTTAATATTTAATGCGTTTTTTGTCAAAATATTTCCTTTTTATATTTATGAACTTTATATTTTGTTAGCCAAAGTGTACACAAATCATATACGCGAAAGAAAGTGTGTATAAAGCATCAATTTTTGCCTTTTAAACATTGTTGTAAACAATATTTTCAATGTTTTAATTTATACATTTGTTACAAGGAGCTAATAATCGTAATGAAAATTTAATAATCGAGAAACCTCGACTAATATTTAGATTGGTACATTTGTTATAAATACGATAATGTTCAGTGTTTGAGAACTCAATGAAGTATTCAGAGTTGAGGAGTGAAGTAGTTGTTGATCGAGTAAAATTATTCAGTAAGAGTGCTTCCATAAGCAAATCAATAAGTTAATTAGCATTTTTTTATCAATCAAGGAAAGTACTGTTAAAGGTTATTATTGATTTAGGCTTACAACTTGCGTCAAATAAACGTAGCCTGTAGCAACCGTTTTTCAAGAAATATATTAATTCATTGTTGATACGTGGACTGGAATTAAAATTATTTTTACAACAAAGTCCAAACAATCCCACCCAGCGGTAGAAAACGTTATAATAATATTATCTATGATTACTTATGTTCATTGGTATATTTATATACCTCTTTACTGGGACCCCCCACACTAGCCTTATTTTCACACAATAATAGCGTAAACTAAGTTTGGGATAGACTCCACAAGATACCAGAAGGTATCTAACACGATTATAGACGTTCATCAAGAAATATAGTCTGCAGTTTATTCCTAGACGATTATGGTAGGTAAATGTAACGTTCAAGTACATCTATACGATGTTTAATGCAGGGATTCCCAAACTGGGGACCGCTGGAAAATATAAGGAGGTTCATAGCAAATACATAATACTGTTGAGATACTCGGTATTTATAAATTCATTGGGTAGGTGGTCTCAATCAGGAAGTGAAATGTTCTATAGGGCCTTGTGCTGAGAAAGGTTTGGAACCCATGACTTAGTGAATTGCTATCTGGTGGTCAAGGAAGATGACTTTAGGCAATGCGTTATTTTTCGAACCAGTTTGGGACAAACCCAGTGCATTGGATTGTTGCGTTATTGTTTTAGAAGAAACATCACACATCGGACCACTTCACACATATTCAATGATACATTTCCCACAATGTGTACTCTACTGAACATAGCGGTTTTCAAATAGGTTGTTAGTCTCTCTGCATCTATAGTTGAATTTTAGGAATCGAAACTCAGTCTGACGTGTTTTTTTTTGTTTTTGTTTTTTAACTTTTACAGTCGTATTTTCCTTCTGACAGTCGCTAGCAATTCATGACTGACACATTGCACGATCATTCTATTTTCATTTGCAAATAAATGGAAAGTTCTACAAACGTGTTTATGTGTGGGATCTTAGTAACATGATCAGAGCAATTGTTTGATTACTATAGCAACGAAGAAGCAACAATGTTCCATAAATTTTCAGGAGAAAAAATTACATGTTGTAAAAAGAAAAATCGAAACAAGTTTTTTTTCAAAATAACTTGTTAATAAACATTTTCATTTAAAGTATCATCTATTTACTGAGCTTGTTCAAAAAACGCTAAAATTATTTTTTAAACTTTATTTTGTGAAAGTATACTTAAAATTCGATATTAAAACATCAAAATGCAATAATAATAATTTATAATATCTCGTCACAATATATCTTTAATTTTCTAAAACATAGATATTTTCTTGATAAATATTTTTTTTATGTGATAGGATATCTTTTGTGGTAGACAGCGGGTTGTTTCAGAAGTGGAATAAGGAGATGTTCAGAAATTATAGCTACTGTTTAAAGCCAGCCGGAGATTCTGTGAACCAACTCAAAATACAGAATTTCACTGGTGTCATCATTTTGCTGCTTTCGGGGTACCTGCTATCTACGCTAGTTTTTGTCTCTGAAAAATTGGGTTATTGTTGATTTATTCTCGATTGAAACTTTCGTTAAGTTGTTTAAACTAAACAATTCAATATTAATGGTAATTAAACACCATTTCACTTATTAAAACGCATTTGTTGATGTTGAATTTTAGATTATTCACCATTAGTAGAAGTCTTCAAATTTATGAAAGGATGTGCAAACCAAACCTTTAAAATTATCCCTTTTTTCATAAACAATAAAATACACAAATGAACAAACATAAACCAAAATATACTGGGTCTGTCAAAAATATCATTGAGTTGTATGTATAATTACTTTCATTATATTTTAATATACTGAATTCATCGACGAAGAAATATACTGGTGAGTCGACTGAGTCAATAAAAGAACGTTCCTATTATAGGTGGATCTTGTTTGTTTGTTTGAAGTTAAGCACAAAACTACACAATGGGCTATCTGTGCTCTGCCCACCACGGGTATCGAAACCCGGTTTTTAGCGTTGTAAGTCCGCAGACATACCGCTGTGCCACTGGGGGCATAGATGGATCTATTAAAGATTTACATCACGCAACACCAGTGTTTAGAAACAACGATACATCATACCAATGTATGTAATCATAAATCAATAATTAAAGACAGAGTTTATTACAAACTAGCACAAAAAATGGACAAAACTATGTAATTACGTAATGTAAACGACTTCGACTGGTGCATGGAGGTAAAATTTACTAGCATAAAATAGTCAGTTTCAACTATATATTAACAGATTTATTAATAATAATAAAAGCACCTTACAAAGTAATTACAATATTCTGTTATATTTTAATTTTCAGTAATTCTCTACATAAGGCACGTACTGAAAAGATTCGAAAGCTCCGATATATTTGGCTCCCAATTATAGCAACATTTTTATGGATCATATTGAAAACCAGCTTTTACAACTAAGTCCTGTAAAACCTCATACATGGAAACTTACATAGACGACATTTTTTTCATTTAGACAGCGGTCTTAAATCACTTAAAGAATTTATCTCGCATGCAAACTCCTTTCATAAAACAATCAATTATACCTGTGATTACTCGCCTACCCTGATTAATTTTCTTGACGTCACTGTTTTTCTAAAAGACGGAATTTTACACACTGACTTGTACAAAAAACCTACAGACAGACCACAATACCTTCACTATAAAAGCTGTCAACCCTCTCACACTAAACGAAACATTACCTACAGTCAAGCTCTTAGAATAAAGAAAATATGCTCAGATGAAACAGACTACAGAAAACACACCAAGGATCTAAAACAAACCATGTTACAAAACGGATATAAATATACTGAAATCGACAGACAAATTGTTGTCTCCTTCCAAAAAAGCAGAACTCTAAAAAATATCCTTGTTCACAAAAAAGTGAATTTTATCCCATCCAAAAATGTTTGTTGTCCATGTAATAAAGCCCATTGTCAAACCTGCAATTTCATAAAAACCACTGACTCATTTTCTGACAAACACAATCAAAGAAACTTTAAAATATCCAAAAAAGTCACTCGTGAAACAAAAAAAAAAAAACACCATTTACCATATACAGTGTATAAAATGCAGTTACCAATATGTAGGACATTCACAAACAACTCTTAGGGAACGTTTCAACAACCATAAATCTTCTATTAACACCGCAAAAGATCTCCCTGTTGCTCAACACTTTAACCAACCCAGTCATTCCATTAAAGATGTTACTCTCATCGGCATTGAAACAAAATTCAAAACTAAAGTAGATAGATAAATAAAAGAAGCTTATTGGATTGCTAATCTAAACACTGTTCAACCTTTCGAAATTAATCTAGATCCTGGAATCAGTGATCTCCGTTCATTGGTTTCATCTCTGTTTAAGTAAAATAAAGGTGACACCTGGAGACTGAAAATGATATGTTATGCTAATCAATTTATAAAAACAGGTATGGAAAATTATCTTAAATAAATAGTAAGTTTTAGGAAATTCAGCATTCACATTACATGAAAAAATAAGCAAAGAATAAAAATTATTTTTCTGACAGTTAAGTATAGTTTTAAATATACATATATTTATCCATTTCTAAAGTAAAATATCCCTAACACCTTTTCACATACACTCTTGCCATCGGCTACACTGTACCGGAAATAAGATGCTTACAATAAATAGTACACAGAGAAATAGACTAAACATTTCCTGAAAAACCGGATGACGTTCATGACGTCACTACACTCCGTTTATATATATATATCACTCATTCGATTACACCACCATTCCCAGTCCAACTTTCGAAAGCGCTCGGGTTATAGGGTTTTTATACATTTCTATGAAGACTTCTTGAACCTGCGTGTTTTTCTAACATCATAAATATATATATACATGTATATCGGTTCTATAACTCACTAGGTGTCACCAATAGTTACATGTGGACTGACTGTTCTAGCTTTATCAACATGATTTTGGCTTGTCTACTTACATGTTTACTCCTAATTTCTCTAATATTTTGGTTTGTGTACTGTGTAACAGGATTATTTGGTACTTTCAATATAATAATTTTGATATATTTCTAGTATCAATATATTTTTTGGAAATATGGTTGTTATTAGATAGATTAGATATAACTAAGATGACAACAGCACTACTACTGCCGTTAGTACTAGCTCAGCACAATGATGATCTGTAGAAACACACATTTTGGTGATATATAAATTTCTGACTTCTCTGGAATGCATATCTCACCGTATGAAATTGAAACTGGTGTATCTTGAGATGATTGGAATAAAGAAAAGCAGTCATATGAATTATATTATAATTCTTAAGTTAAGGTTAAAACTTAACTTAAAATCAAAGAATATCCAATCATCACTGCTCTAGTGCAACTTAGACTTAGAAGTAGTAGTAACCCTAATCTTTACTTCTGAATGAACAGTCCACCTGGAAAATATTAAACCTAAATGATATTTTGACAATCTTGCCAATGTCTTCATCTTGTTGGGAAGATCTTGTAAGATTTGAGTAGTATTGTGATAGAGATTGAGTGGTTTGATCTGGTTGCCTCAAGTTGGAACTTGGAGTCATGACCATACTTGGCAGCTACTCGGTCCTTATTATGACACTGAACAATAGCCAATTACAAGACTCCCCTAATGTGATTAAGGCAACTTTAAGAGTGCTGAAACCAGATTCAGAGTTAATTCTTTCTAAGCAGATTGTTATTAAGAAGTACAAACTATAAATCAATTTCTGCTACTACCACTATGTAAGCAGTGTATGTGCATGAAGATCTTGTATGATGATATTCTCAGTTACTGATTATCTAACTTACAGTGAGAACAAGGTGCTTTACACAGTAATTAATACTATTAGTTTCAGACTTTTTTTCGCTCATTTCTTTTATTTACTGTGTATCTGTCAAGCTAGAAGAAATGAATGAAAAAGAAGTATAATTTTCACTGAGATGTACATAAATTGAAGCACATCAAAATATGCTTATATTACCAGTGTAATGTCCAAGAACCCCTTTTTTCTAATACTGAAAAAAGTGTTTACACTCAACAGCAAAAATTATTTTTTAACTTATATCAAAAGTTAAACTTATTTTAAAATAACCCTATTGCAAGTAATGGTAAAATACTATTGAAAAACAAATGTGGTGTTTTTCTTTTGTTATATTCATGCATTTAATATCGAAATTTAACCCAATAAGTGATAAATTAAGTAGTAACAACTGCTTTAATAGTATGACAACTCATTACATAGCACACTTTCTCTTTAAAACTGTTGTTCAGGTAATGTCTTGTTGCATAACATTATCAAACAATTCATTGGGCTCATGCATATGGTTACAACTCGCAATTAATTTACAATGAATATGCATAGAGTAAAACATTCTAATATCATTCCTAGAAAGGAAGTAAAATCTGTAAAAATTAGAAGGCTGAAAATGATGAAAGGAGAAAGTTAAAAAAACATAACAGTTTTGTAGGTATGTCATTTTGTAAGTTATTCTGGAGAACTGTTTAATTTGATTAAATTTTTAGCTGTATAAGACTTGAACCTTTCCGGTTCTACATTTTTCCTCCATTTTGTATTCATTACAGGCATCAAAATGTATTTACCTCTACTATCTTCAATAGTTTTTGAAAATCATAAACCATGGAAGGGTTTTCATCATGCCAAATTAAGAGTCTCAAGACAATCATAATATCCTCTTGATCTTGATTACAGAATCCAGCAATCAGTTTATTTTTCTACATCAGTATCATAGAGTTGGTAGATTCTATATTTAGGGATGGCCATGGTACTCAATAAGCATAATACAAATATGCATGCTAAAAATCAACAGTGACATAGAGTTTTACTTCAAAAGACGATTGACACTCACTTTCATTTGTTTCTCTAACCAACAAGGCAAGAAAACATCACTAAGATACCAAACCAGAAAGTGACCAACCTACCAAATTGTTAATGTTTTGGTCAAGATAACTCTACAACTTCTTTATCATTAACATAAGTTTAAACCTAAATCCACTCTATGTGTTTCTGGGAAGTGCACGATTTTGTCGCCTAGTCATACTAACTAGTAATGATAAAAATCATAATTCTAGTGTAAATGATGTTATCATTACCCCTTGAAGTTAGCTTTCTTTCAAGAATTTGGTGTTCCTTTAAAAAGCTTAAGTACAGGGTGAAATAGGAATTACCAGCCAATAATGGATGAACATTAGATGACTGTATCCTGTAGGATATTCAGTGCTTTGTACACTATGCAATCAGTGTCTTTAGAGAGCCTTATATTATGTATGAAGTGAAGGAGTAAAAAAAAAATCAATATATACATATTAAATTTTATTGCACACATTCATAAAATACACTAACTTTCTGCCAGGAACAAAAAATGTCACAAAATAAGTAATAAAAAAACATTTTGTAAATGTAAAATGATGTAGGGATGGCAGTGCCAAACAGAATGCAAATATATATAGAGAGAGATAATACAGTTGTACATAGATCATCCCTACATGATTTTCAATATTAAAATTGAATGTTATGCTGTAAAACTTTAATATTACTGTGGTTGAAATTTATATATTCCTGACTATTGGTATTCAGTTTGTTTAACATAATATCATGGCCATGTCAGAGTAATCATCAATGTGGTGTAACTAAGAGTCTAGGACTTGCATACAAGGAAAACCAAGTTGAGTCAAAACATGACTTGGTTATTACAGACTTTTGCTACAAGGTCAGTTGAATTGACTGACCTCGTAATCATTTTGTATTTGTGCATTTTACAGTGTAACATTAAATTTTAATATTGAAAGCCCTGTAGGGATGATCTATGTATAGCTGTATCATCCCTATATGCTTGTTTGCACTCTTTTTGGCACTGCCATTCCTACATCATTTTACGTTTACAAAATGTTTTCTATTACTTGTATTAGTGTGTGGCTTGAAGTACCTTATTACTGTGCATGTACAGCTCCTCATAGAAATGTGATTTTTTTTTCCAGACTACCAGCAAGGAACAAGAAAGTAAACTGCACTCTTATGATAATTCAAAAGCTACAGATACAGTTAAAATAGAACAAATCTATTGATTCTGGCTGACGTAGCCTTAAAAAAAACTATGATTGTTTATTGTAATTCGTATATATAATGTATGTGAAAAAAATGGTTTGTTGGGGTCATATACCACTCATTATGCAGGG